TCACATTCGTGAGTGTTATAAGTCGCAGTTTTAACAAGTTTTTCTGTAAAAGTATTAGTAAAAAAAAAAAAAAAATAATATAAAATAAAAGTATAAGTATAACAATATAAGCAGCCCTGCTGACTTAGTTAAACCTATTATTTTCCATGTATATATTTGTGCATAATTAAAAAAAATTATCACCTCTTCTATAAATTGTTTAGTGGCCTAATTTTAATTTTTAATTTAGATCAAACACCTCCAACAACTTGACGGTAGTAGCTAATTTTTAATATTGAATAAAAAATATTAATTTAGGATGCAAAATTTCTTGCAATGCGGAATATTCAAATGCTGGATTGAAAGAATAAAACACAACAGCTTGCACAATTAAACACTTCTGATAACTGTAAAATATGATTCTTCATTGTTCGTAATGCCACTAGACTGACTTTTATAAAATTATCGCAGTTTAAGATATTTAGAATTACTATGTACTACCCTCTTTTATATCCATTGTTAAAATAGGAAAAGTATAACAATATTTACTAGGTCGCAAGATAAGACAGTCAACATATGTTTGAGCTGTTTACGTACTAGCGTCGACTTTAACATAGCATCAGTCAACACAATAATAGAAAGACTAACAATTTTGATGGTGAATATAGCTTACATATTTGCATTAAACAGTGCCACCGATAATCTTGAGAATATATTTTCGAAGTCATCACAACTGAACAATTTTTTTTCTTCATTGAAAAAATCTGGGTCGAATAACTCCCAGGATTCCATGGACTAAAAACTGCGGGAAAGCAGTCACAAAATCGCGGCAAAAACCAGTCTCAATCGTCTACATGCGAGTCACCGCTCCATTAGGACGATTTTGGCCCGAACTTTGCCCCTTTCAGGACCGTGTACTTTTTCACCGGAGAAATTATAAAGTTGTTTTATTGGGCTAACACGCTTTGGCTCTTTGGTCGGCGTGTTTATCACTACACGCTTGTACCTTTTATATCACCTACACGACAACTACAAAATCGCCGTCCGGGTGACTTATCGAACCGCTACCTCTTGTCGCGGTCGCGATGCTGAATGTAGCGGTCGGCGTCGGCGTCGGCGGACGAAGCTTTCTCGCCCACACAGGTATGTTAATGTGTCCACCTGTCCGCGCGAAATACAGAGTCGACCAGGGTAATTCCTTCCTGCTTATAAACGTTTACCAAATAGGGCTGTCTTCCTTTGCTTATCTTGGGCAGTTAAAAATTCCTGGGTCCGAAATTTTAAGCGCGATTTCTAACGTCAGGGGGCGATTGCGATCGTCATTCTAGTTTTGAACACACATTTTAACAGTGGATGAACAGAATAAAAAAATGTGTCACTATATTGGCCTAATGGGAGAGCGAGCTGTTCTAGTGGTTAGAGCGCGGGATTTCAGCTCCAGAGGTCCCGGGTTCACCCGCAAATTCACCAATGGATTTTATCGCTGTGATAATGCCGCAACCCTATAATGTCTAGCCTGAAGTAATGTGAAAAACAATTCCGGGCTCGTGCCTAGCGTCCTAGGACAAAGAAATTCTACTCATGAAAAGTGTTTTAACTAACATCATGGCCTTGTTTTTAGGTAGGAGATGCTTCATGTAAACCACCTGAACACCTTCCTTAGCCGTGATCACCGGAGATATAACAGTTAATGGGAGCGCTGTTAACACTTCATCTACAAGACACCTGCAGGCGTATTTGGCACTTCCTCTACACTGTCCAAGCTGTTGAGAGTTCCTTCCTCGGCGCTCAGAACATTAATTACTAAGCGAAAACAACAAAATATTTAAGTATGAAATCTTAAAATTTGGTATGAAATTAATACAGGTAGTTCCTGCAGTTAAGTTGATTTCATCACACTGTCCGGAAAGTAGCCGTTATAAGTTCTCTAAATCGTCAACAACATTTTCGGGTAACTTCAAACAGGGAACAGAAAAAAAACTTATGGTAAATCTTTCGGTTCGCTAACCTCAAAGTTGTATCAGTGCATTATTAAAACACTACTAATAACACGATATTTAAAGATATATTTGTAAACATTGATGACGACTTTGTATAGCCTCCAAATTATGTGGCCTAATTTTGTAAAGATTATAAGGTTATTTGCATAGTATGATGAAAATAGTTATTCATTACACGGAACGAAAGTGTCTTTTTGGTACTTGATCGTATTTCCAAGCTCGGCTGCGCCTCGCTTATTTCAATGATATTTTTGGTTACAAAGCTATGTTTTAAAATGAGTAAAAATTAAAATAAATAAGCAGATAATAGAAGTACATTTGAGAATTTACACGTAGGGAACCCTACCAACAAAACTTATAGAAATACACTAATGGATTCCTAATACAATAAAGACGTAGCCTGAGGTTAGGTTTTTATTCTGTGTTTGCATACTTTTAACTTATATGTTTTCAATTAATGAACTACTTTAGTTAAATTCACAAAGTAATCACAACACATCAACAATCAAAACATAGGCCTAATATAGATTACCTAACATGTATATCCGATTTTTACGAGTTATCGACTCTAATCCCTTGCGAAGTTACAACTCCCCCCCCCTCCCAAATATCAAATTGTTTGAATATGCCAACGGTTTAACCATAACCTCTTACGTAATTTTGACACATAGGACCTATTCACTGGAAGAGAAATACTGGAAAGGAAATAACTCTGGTCGTCCGAGGATGTAAAAGTCCAAGGATAGAAAGCAACTTACAAGTCTTGTAAGTTGCTTTCCTATCCTTGGACTTTTACATCCAGGCTTTCAAGATACTGATTTACCAATAAGGAGGTTATTCTTAGTAAACAGACTGATGTAGCCTGTCACAAGTCACATTAAAAACGTAAACAGAACAAGAATCTGACTTGCATGAAGTTTCCTGGCCTCCAAGATAAATGTCTTGTCAACAAGTATAAGACGCTTGTTGCGGAACAACTTATCATTTCAGCTGATAATACTTGCTAAATAAAATGCACACTGAGCTATGCAGAATTTGACCAAAAACATTGCATTAAAAACGTTGACTTAGCCTTGCAAACGTTGCAGTTTCTCGTTTATTTATTGTAAGATGGGAACTTAAGTAACTGTAATGCAAGGACATAATTATATGACAGTATATAGGCTGTCTCAAAATGAGGAAATTGTTGATTACCCACTAATAAAAACTACTGCAGTACAATAAATGCCTTAAAAATAAACAAAGAATAATAAATCTGGTTGTGATTTACCTTCCAAATAATTTGACAAACTTAACTGAAATTTAAGAAAACAAGATACACAATGTTACTGCAATTAAAAAAAGTTTTTAATAAAAAAAACTTAAACTAACTTAAACTTAAAATTTTTTAAGTTTTTAAGCTGGCAGCGAACGTCATCAGCTATCAACGACCATCATCAGCTGGCAGCGTTCAGTCATCAGCTATCAACGTCGATCATCAGCTGGCAGAGAACGTCATAAGCTATCAACGTTCATCACCAGCTGGCAGAGAACATCATCAGCTATCAACGTCCATCATCAGCTGGCATGGAACGTCATCATCACACTAAATGAATTTAAAATAAAAGGTTAAATCTCAATGATTGATAATTGATACTTAATTTAGGAAAATAACGTTGAAATTGAGTCCTCTTGAGGTTAACTTTAATAAATTAAATATCAATTGGATTTTCTTGATGAGATTAAGTTAATTTAAATTGGATGAAATCTGGGCTTCTTCTTAAACAATATGGCTTCCTTCTCTCCTCAGAGTCACTATCTGAATGTCCACATGAGTGTATTGTGAACACTGTCTGATCACTCCTCACTTGAAGTTTGATTCCTTAAGGACTAGTTATATGAAATTTTGATATATTGCAATTCCCTTACAAATAATGTAAGCCTATGTAGTAAATATACAAGTTGTAGGCTTTGTAGAAAAAACTATGGAATGGTTATTGTTCATGATTAATTGAACATGGACTAATGGAATTGTATAAATAAGTTAAATGAATACTTTTTGAGGAGTGATTAATGACAAAGAAATTATAAAGCGGTGTATGAACAAAATTAACATAGTTTAAGAAAATTAATACTAAATGATAAATGTATGAAATAAAATATTACATTTGTTACCAACTTATACAGTTGAAATGTGATAAAGTTATTATGTTAAAGTGGAGAAGGGGTAAATATTGAAATTGAAGTGTACGTAGTAGGGTTTAGAGTGAGAAATGGACGTTATCATTTACCAAGTATTCGTACGTATTGAGTTTGGGGTGTACGTAGTAAGAAGTCAGTAATGCACGTCATCAGCTAACAACATACGAAGCCAGCCAGCCACGTACGTCACCACGTAATGACGTCGCCGTTCTCAACACCAGGTTTGTTAGCCTATGATATAGCGCAGTTGGATCTGGCTCAGTCACCACGGAGTCCCGGTTTTTGTCGCCGCCGGTTTTTACTCGGCGATTTATTTGATCTAGAAGCGCCGCTCGCGCTGAGAAGCGAAACCCGATTATGAGAACGCGGTTTGTAATCCGCCCAGCGATGATCGTGTACTGGGCGACAGATACCTCACATCCACTATCCACCCACTCAGCCTCCTCGTCTAAAAGACTAAGACTTTTAAATACGTACATCTGTAAATCAACGTAATCTTGAAAAATCGTGTCAAAGAATTGTTGCAAACAAATTATTCCGATGGTGACTGAAGAGATTTCAAACCGTTCCTCCAGGACAGTCCCTTTCGTTTAACCACTGGATCAGAAGTGTCCTTAATTTATCGATTGATATTTAATTCAGGTACATTTTTTTACTTTTCCTCTTTGCTGATTAAATAAAAAAAGGATTTATTTTACTCCTTTTCTCTTTTTAAATTTACAATGGACCTGTATATGCTGTAAACACACACTGACTTGTTTTAATCCAGAGAGTTAGATTCATTATTTGTACTATAATAACATTCACTTTCAATCTAAAAACAAGGTTGCCATGGATATTCTTTAGCGATTCTTTCAATTCAATTCCAAATTTCCGTTCGAACACACTCTCTAAATTTTCAGTGACCCAGAACACATCATCATGACTGTAAGTAATGCCCTAGTGTCTAAAACAAGTAATAGTTAGCTAACTTACTCGTTCTTAATTGTAGTTTCATACAACTAAGCAAATAAGTGAATTTTGAAACGTCTGAAAACCTCTGGTTGTCAGAAAAAATAGAAGTTGTATAACAGTAGATACAACATACAGTACAGTACAGTAGTATAACATACAGTGATACAGTAGAGTAGTGGCTTTTGGAATAAAGTTTTAATACATTAATATAGTAAACATTACAACGTTTATGTGAATAAGTAGATACTAGTATCACATTGTACGAGAGTTTCATTTAAATCTTTGGTGGACTGTAGGGTGACATATTAAATCTTATTTTTAGGAAACGTTCCAACCTTGGTATTGTTACTATTGTCCGCCTATTTTAGCTTGTATTCTTTATTAAAAGCCCAATGAAGAGTGACAACTATGTTCACAATGTATATTTTAATTTTCATCTTTAACATTTTAGGTTTAGTCAGTAACATAGGTTATCTCTTTGTTTCAGAATGTACTCCGAACTCTGAGCAAAGCCGCGGTCACAGCCCTCTCTAGACCATCCACTCCTTCAGCGATGGCTACAGTTGTCCAGGATGGCATGTCACCTTTAGTGTCTCTGACCAGGGGCTTCGCAGCTCCAGCAGCCAAACTGAAGAAGGACTGTTTAAAGAAGAGACCAACCGTCAACTGCGCTTGCGCCAGACATCCTTGGCCAGAAGATGACAAAGAGTGTGAGGAAGTCAAGGAAAAGCCGAAGGACTGTGACTTCGACTTCAGAAAACTCGAAGTGAATCCCTTCGACCCTCCTTGTGATTGCCAGGATCCCCCACCGGCCGCAGGGTGTGCCGACGTCGGGCGTCCCAAGGAGATTTGCTGCAGGTCCTTCCGGCAGTACGGATGTCACTGCGAGGAGGAGGAAGTGTGCGAAGAAGAAGTAGAAGAAGTAACTCACCAGATCGAGGCAAAAACGTGTGAGTTAGATTTTAAAAAGCTAGAGGTGAATCCGTACGACGACCCTTGCGAATGCCGAGATGCGCCTCCGGTTGCAAGATGTGCAGATCTGCCTAAGAAGGATCTGTGTTGTAGGACGAAGAAGCTGTTTACCTGCAACTGTGAGGCTTATGACGAGCCTGGCTTGGAATGCTTGAAGCAGAAGGTTCCTAAATCAAAGAGGACTGAGGCGAAGAAATGTGATAAGAAGGAGTGGAAGGGCAAATGCATGTAAGGTTTGTGGGTGTCGGACTCATACATCATGTAACTCAACACGTTGTCTTTGGTTTTCAATTAAACGCTAATACGGTATTGTTATTTGTTTATTTTCAGGATAAGTATAATGAAAAACTACAAACGTTATGAATATAAGTTAGGAAATTAGTTTACTGCTAATTTGCTTCTTTACTTATTCGCTGCTTGTTTTTTTTTACTGTAGTTTTATGGACGAATCACAAAACAATGCATATGTTATAATCTGCTGATACAACAAACAAAGGTGTCCCCAAATCCAAGAATCACATGTAGGATACATGGCAGTTTGCAGTTAGTTAAACTTATGTGTAAAAACTGTCCTCCTACAAGACAAGTACGGAATGATGATTTTGAGCGAGCTAGATGAGCTCCTATATAAGGCAGTGACTAGATCAGGAGCGTTTCTTTGTGCTTCTGTGAAGATATTGGATCTGGTAGTGGACTAGCGGTTACTCGCCTTCCTCGCGACCGCGCGGAATAAACTGATAACGCTCTTGGTTGAGGAGATGAGGAAAATGAGCGAAAAAACTTGAATTAATTAAGAACTAAGACTTATTAATTATAATCATAGTTTAAGCCGTCACAGTTTCAGCTGTATCCTTTTAGGTCTAATCAATGATTTTAGAATAAGAAGCTTAGTTACAATATACCATCATTAAACTAATCAATAATGTTAGGTTATTGTCAAAACTGCAAGTCGTGAAATAAGGGTTGGTCCACGTCAGAACTTGGACAGAAGGTGCATTAAGGAATGCAATACCAACGAAATGTTGTTTGTGCATAAAATGACACATAGCCTGTTTACGCCTCACTACAGCAATTTAAACTTTAAAATTTAATCTTACTGAATGCCTATTACATTTTAACTCCTAACTGAGACACTGCCAACAACGTAATGTAGTTTGACTTGTTTGGAGATAAAACATTAAAAATCAGAAAATGTTTTTAATGTTCTGTTAAATGAAAAGCAAAAGTACCAAATCTAAAAAGACTTATTCGAAACTAATGAAATATGTCAATGTTTTATATTTGAAACAAGGATTTTACGTGTTTTGTTATGGTAAATGAAGAGTAGTAATTCAAAACCTATTTGAAGACTTTCTTGAGTCTCAAAGAAAACATTTCAATGTGGTGTTTTGCTACTTTACTTATTTTACATACTGAATCCTAAATCAGAATTTTGCAACTCCACCCAACCGTAATCCGACCGGGGGCTTAGCTACCGTAACATTGTGTTAAATCCACTACCACTAAAATATGGATTAAGAACGCATAAACAATAAAATGCAAATAGCACAGGAGCCGCGGACGTCCAGATCTGGCGATAGCTCAGCCTCCACCCTCAGCATAATTACATATTCATTTCACAAATTGAACGGTGAACTCGGGGGGTGATGCGTGCCAAATCAATTACATTGGCTGATACGGCGGCGGCTCAGAACCAGTCCAGAGTCGCAACTCAAAATGTTGTCCCGAGTATTGACAAGCGCACAAGGAATCAATTTGCTCTCTCGCTCATCTACGCGAATGTAAGAGATGTTTGCAGAGATCGATGTAGAATCAGCAGGATTTGATTTAGTTTTAATAATTTTATTTGGAAAATGGCTGCGGTCAACAACGTTAGCTGTCTCCAACTCACATTAAGTTGGGTCAGGTGAGTACACTTGAGAGAATATTGTGGCAATTTTCCATCACGATCAGTAAATAGAGGTTAACGTCCCAAGATCTTAAATCTTTTATCGTCTTCAGGTGATAAAATATCTTAAACATACTAAGATAAGCATGATGAAGTTTTGGCGTACTAAATAGTTTGTCATTTTACAAAACATTGACATGCAAATGGTGATGATAAGAATTTGCATTTGAATACAAATGTGAACACCTATTGGTATTTAATTAGTGAAATGTAATTTAATATATCTAAACTACAATTAAGTACCAATTACAATTAAGTACAATTAAGTATTGCATCTAGCTGGACTAGAAACAAAGTTAAAAGTCAAAAGTGGATATTGAAGCGTTGCCAAAAAGATCACATATTTAGACCATAAAGTTAATGTTTAGAATATATACAGTATTCAACTATTAGAAGGACACTTTTGTTTACTTCCAGATATTAAATTAAATTATATAAAATGTGGTTCACTGTATGTAACTGTACGATGAACATTTCAATGATTTGCTCATGTGGTGGGTAAAATTGTTGTAAGAGCAATTAATAAATTAGTTTTGAATAATGTCTTAATTATATAATGTGTCAAGATTGTTCGGAAATGAATTCGTATGTGTATGACATTTTTTAAACCAGCACCACCGATGTAGCTTATAACAAAGCTTGTATTTTGAAATTACAAACAAATGAATGTTGAAACTATACACAATTATATACAAGAAAGATATAAAGTTATTAAATTTATCAAGTTCTCATATGAATTTAATATTCTATTCCCCTATTAGCCAGTTTGTGGGTTAAGGAAAATCCATCCTGAGGGCTTCAAATAATTTGCTTTTAGAATTGCTTGCCAATGAGTTAGCAGTATACAACCATTGCAACCATTTACAACAATTTGCAGTATACAACCATTGTATGGATACGTGCAACACTCACACATGGGTACATGGTTATGGTAAGTTACTTGGTACTTGGTAAGTTGCTTGGTCAAAAAAATTCAAGTTAAATGTTTCTGCATACTCAAACAGTTTAGTTGAACAGTTTCCTCTATTAAAAGAGCCCAGTCATCAATCACGTTCATGTAAAGGTTAGCTATATCAATCTCATTGGTGTTTTTTGTCACAGTTGCCACAACGCAGTGTCACGGTTGCCACAGTCAGTTGCCACACACCACAGGTTGAAGTGGTCATTATCTCATGGTTTGCGTGGTCTATTATCATTCTTCCGCCCTCTATCTTCCGCTTCTAAATATTTCCACGAACAAGGTTTGTTTTTCTTGAACATACCGAACGTTCTAGTCAGCTCTTCCTGAAATCTGTTTTGTCAAAGTTGGTATTTTCCAAAGATATAACATAAAATTTGTTTTTAGAAGGAAAAACTTGCAAGAAAACTGTTTAAGTGCTTTTATTTGCCAATAAAATACAGGTATCATAAATTAAAATCAAGAAAGATTTGCGGGCACTATCGTTTGTCTGCCTCACACTCAAAAAAATTGGGTATGCCTAAGTTATCACTGAATTTAAATAATGTTTAAATAATGAAATAATGAAATGTTTAAATAATGTTAATAATGAGTTTAAATAAGGTTGTAATAGTTAGAGCGACTTCTTGTACCGTAAAATCATTGATTGTACCAAGTGCAAAGGTATTGATTACTACTCACACACATTATTGTTGAGTAAGTCGCTAAATATGAACCACACTAATTACACAAATCGAATCGGAAAGATCAATCGGCATTGTAGCGAAAGTGAACCATAATTTAGCAACAATTTCGCTCAGAGTATGATACGAATACTAAACACGACTTAAATAATAAACCTAAATGTGCTATAAGAAAATCCAATTAGGTCTGCCCGATGCAATAAAACTTTGGAAGTGGTGTGATCCCATAAATATTAATAGCAATAAAGTGGTCTCGAGATTAGGTCACAATCAAAGCCATTTGAGGCCGGACCGGTCTTCTAAACACGACAGTTTAAATGCTCTTCAAACGTTCCATTTAAACTGGCATTTAAATTCAAATCTGATTCACCATTTTATTCATTTGCAACATTATCTATAGTAGTGTACAAGTATTAGTGCCCTTGATATAGAAGTGTAAAGGGTGCTAGCATCTTAAATTAGAAACGTTGAAATCATTGGACTATACATTATGTTAGTAAACACTTTGTTATTCAGGATGATCATCAGAACTGTATACACTCCTTCTTTTTTCAACCTCCTTTATTAAATTATAGTTTGCTATTTTATAATGTTTTAAATTGAAAAAAGAAACTCCAACTTGTGTTAAATTATTAGGGCATAACAATGGTGTGGGTTGGGTTTATCGTACGGTATTTTAGACTTTTGTTTATAGATACAAACACTTCATTTGTATTCAATGTACTCATAATTCACAAATATTCAAGTTATCCAGGTAAAGTTTTACAGAGATTGAATTAAAATTACTTTCAACTTGAATAATTTTCAACTTCTAGGAATCAAATGAGCAAAATATGAGTTTTCAAAAATTCTTTCTCTCAAAATTGTCATGAGAAAAGTATTCTTTTTGAGTTAATTACGTTCTGTTTAATCATGGAGTTTCAACAAAAAAACAATATTCCATTTTTAAATTATATGTACTGTGCCTCGCAAAGGAACAAGGATGTGTTGATAAAATTCCATAATTAATTATACCGTTCAACCGCTATACAGCTGCCACTGATTTGACCAAAGAACTAAATTATATTACTTGATTTAATTTGATTACCAGTGTGAAGGGATAACATTCATAACCTATCAAAATGTACACAAAGAAATTGTAAGTATGAAAAAACTGGGGACCAATCAAGATTAACTTTAGACTCCAAGAGGGATGTTTGTAACAGTCGATAGCAAAGTTCATCATCAAATTTCAGCCAAATTGAGTTAGTATTTGTTAAACCGCAACAGATAATCAAAAACATAAAAAACAAATTGATTGATGGATGATCACTAATACAAAATGTAAATATAGAAGAAAGCTAACAGTTTTTGCGTTTTACATAATTCCATTCAAGGAATGTTTACAAAAAATTAAACCTCACACTAAATCGCAATCTGCTGTTGTCACATTCGTTTTGTCAACTGATTAAAAATTACATCGGCCACCGCTGCGACTGTAATGAAGGCGGAAAATTTTATATTTTGACCTTTGTGTTTGGATCTGCCCGGAGAAACTTTGTCGGAACAAAGCCTCTGAAATATCACCGAACATTTCTCCGTAGAAAATTGATCTTTATAACTCTCATATTTGTGTAAACTTTCAAACCCGTTTTGGACAAAAGAGTTTTGAAATTATAATGAGGTGGCGTCATGATATTTACTGCTTGGGGTTCTGTTTTACTGCCTATTCTTGTAAGTT